GTTTTGAAAAATTTCGGGATTTTGATATTTTTAAGTCTTCAACTTTAAAACTTGTTTTAAAAGGCATTTTCAGTACTGAAAACCCCCAAAAATTAAGTTTTGAAAGATTGCGAGATCCCAAAAAACTTTTACAAATAAAGAAAAAAATTTTGCAACTCTATTTTAAAACAAATATTACGATGAATGAAATATTTTTCAATGTATGTAAATTTTTTTGTTAAGAAATGCGTATAAACTCAAAATCGAAAGAATTTGAACTAAGACATCTGCGAAAAAAGCAAAAAGAAATGTATACAACGGTAATGTCAGCGTTTCATGGTTTTTGTTTTTGTAATATAATAATTAATTTGCTTAGTTTTAAAATTAAATATAATAATTAATGCTAGAGAAAACGAGCAACCGCCACACGGGCAAAAAAACCAACACACACTTCAGCAAAACGAAAACAACAACAAATTATTTAGCGGTAAAGAAGCATACACCTATCAATGTACAAGTAGTTCAATGCAAATAAAAGAAAAACAACAAAGGAAATCATTTTAATTAAARTAACTCATTGACAAGCAACTATTTTAGGTTAAGCAGTTATAACTAATAATAAAAAAATTGTAAAGAAAACGAATAAAATAATTAAAGACCAACAACAATAAAAAAGTATCTCCTTCAGGCACTAAAAATGCCAAGGTTACAAGCATTTATCTACATTGACTAGAAAACACGCACGCACACATTGCACRTAAACAGATAAATAATTTGTAATTTTTATAAAACTCAAAAAAATTTTAAGCAAATGAAGTCGGCAAAAACTGAGCATGAAAAGGCCGGAGCAGTTGTTTATCTTATTTATTTTATTTATTTTGATATTCTTATACCTTTTTTGTCTCAATTGCGTAACCCATTAATTGCGCTAATCACCCGTATTGATAAGATAAGCTCGGATCGAAAATGCAATCAGTATRGAGTACTTATAACCGGCCACAAGATAAAAATCACAAACGACGTAAGCAGCTGACACTGGTTATGACAAAAAATAACCGCTAGCCGTATCTGTACATACAATTGTGAGCCCAGTTGGCTTTTGAAAAGGCATGTATTATTTAGTATATGAATTATGAAGTATCTAGCATAATAGTTGAGATATTTAATCAACTGCAGGCACTTATAAATTTGTAAAAACAAAAAAAGAATACTTATCGCCATAAAATTATTGACGATATTCAAGTACGTCGCTTTACGTTCAAAATGATTGGTTGAGTTGGCAAAAATGAAGGCAAGCATTGATAAAAGAAATTGCTGTCATGTAATTGAAGGTTTTGGGTTCTTGTTGACAAAAGAGGCAAAGAATTTCATGGTGAATACTTTTCCGGAGCAGAGTTTTCAACTGCAATGACATTTTCATAAAGCAAGACCGTTAGTTCATTATACTCTCTTTATGGTCAGCTCATCAATACAATGTTTCTGGAGAGTAGTTTTCCGCTTTATGAAGATGGTTACTTCATTATACTCTGCTAACAATCAAATCATTACAATGCTTCCGGAGAAGAGTTTGCCACAAATCACCGCTTTATGAAGATCGTTACTTCATTGGACTCTGTTGAAGATCAGATCGTCAATTCAGTGTTTCCGGAAAATAGTTTCCTACAGAACACAGCCTTATTAAGATCGTTACTTCATTCTACTCTGTTAAAGATCAGATCGTAAATATGATGTTTCTGGAGAGAMATTTTCACAGAAAAGATCTATATGAAGATCGTTACTTTATTCTACTCTACTAAAGATCAGATCGTCTATACAATTTTCAATAATATTCCAATTTCGTTTTGCGACTCATAATTAAGCTATGGACAATGGAGAGAAACATTGGTACCTGTTTTCCCATAGTTTTTTTCTAGTGTTCGTTACTACAATCCCCTCTGTGGAAAGTCATCGCGAATACAATTTTGCTGAATATTTCAAATTCAGTAATAATGATAATCAAGTGATTAGATTCAGCTGGAACAAATTTGTCTATCTTCAGCGTAATTCAGATTTTACTTTACTATCGATGCAATGGTGTTTCACTGCCAGTTTGAATAATATACCGTCGTTGATGTATTGCACTGCGATCTACGGTATATTGTGCCTAGAGTTGGAACCATTTGATCAGATAGACAGAGATCTTTCTCAAATAGGAAGTAAAACTTAAAGGGATTATGAAATTATTTAACTGCATCCCTTTAACTTTCTTGAATTTTTGCAATCACTTATTTGTGTTCTAGGGTTTATTACGGGGAATATCCCACTAAGATTTTCAATGGAATATTTTGAAAAAGGTGCTCAGTCACATTCTACAAAGGAAACACAATTTCCCCTAGACATAAAAAATTTTAATTTGCCATGTATCCTTCAAATACTCGCCCAAATAGATATCCAAGAAATAAACACATCTAATTCAACTTCAAAAGGTTTGGTTTATTTCGATTCACTGGATGAGTTGCGAAGGTCAAGGCCATACTGACGTAGAGAGCGCCCTACATAGGTATTCATACCTATGAAAAT